GCGCACATTAAAGGATTCAGTAACGTTATTTAATGAGATAAATAACACTGACAAAATAGTTTCACATCGTCATATTCGCAATTCTTTCTCATCAACGATTCAACGAATGAACATATGCACATGTGATTGGTGAGTGTAAAATGAAGAATTTACATTTTTTGGTTGATCGTCTGCTGAAGGGTCAGCGTCGAGACTTTCGCATATCAACAAAAGCATATTACGAAGGTGTGACCAAATTTCATAACTTTCTGGATTTATCTCCAATCGCGAATTCACAACCTTCAAAATTCTTTGTGATCCATTCAAATAGCACACAGTTAACATTCTAACATATCTCGAAATTAATAATTTTTAAAATGTTTCCTGAAATTTTGAGTCTTTCAAAGCTGTCATTGAAATGAAAATAAACAACTTGTTATTTAGTTCATTCTGACAATGAAAGATACGAATAAATGATAGCGTTAATTCAACAAATCATACGAATTGCTTCGCTGTTAATTGAGATCATATAAATCGATCTAAAGTTTACTTGTGAGATCAGTTTTTGATAAATGTTGAAATTATGCGGATTACTCGATGTGCCGTACTTCTCGAACGCTTCGATTGCGTCAGCAAATCGTTGATCCGATATTAGGTTGGATACATATAATGCCACATATTTGTCCATTAGAGGTTGATACTTAAATTGGATTGATTGGTTAAAGAGCAGTTTTGGATCAGATTACACACTGATGACTATCTATTCGTATGCGTCAACATCAGTCGAAATGATCAGTTCACACTTTCGCTGAGCATTTGCTGGCTTGTGAAATGTTCAATATGATGCGTTCAGATTAAAGTTGATAGCGTGGGGGGGAGAGAGTTGTTGCAGGATAGTGAATTAAAGGAGTGTATGAATTGGGATGTGGTGTAATAAATATCAAACAAGTGAATACATTCTGTTGTTTCGCGGTTTCGAGAGCCTTCTCCCAGAATCCTCTCTCGATGAGCAGATCGATTGCACTCACCACATCCACATCAATCAACTCTCCAACTCGACCTTCATTTTTCAATGATTCCTTATATTTCCCATCCACAAAATCTGCCATTTCCGGCAGTAACTCGGTCGCAACCTTAACGATTATGTTTATAAAATGACTCAATTGTAAATTTCAAGTTTAATTGAATATAAACTGAAGTCAACAATAATTGAAAAAGAATACTGCATGATTAGCGTTGGCACCATATGAATAAAATGTCATCAAACGCACAATCTTCTGAATAATTTCCTTTTTTTGAGACTACATTATCTGTAATCTTTACAAAATACTTTGAATCGATCAACGATAATACTTTTTTCGCTTTGGCCCATTGTCCGGCAAGCACAAACGCTTTTATAGCACTGTCCGCTCGATTCACAGCCAGAAACAAGTCAGCAGCTTCATTGAACCTGAATTCCAATTCAAAAATTCTCTAAAAAACCACGTGCATTCAATGATCAAGCTAACTAACCATTAATTACGTCATTTCATCACTCATTTATCTATTAGTGTCGACGTTTGGCTCATCCCAAAGTAAGATGCATTTTAAATAATTCATCTAGCGCAGGGATCCCCATAAGGTGGGGGAAGGGGATTTTTTTGGGGCAGTTTGAGGGTGTCAGAGGATAGTGTAGTGGTTGGGAAATTAGTTCTGACGTTATGCATGGAAATAATATTATTGTAGCAGGAAGGAGGGGGGGGGGGGGGGGGGGGGGNCGGCCTGCGAGACCATCGAAGGGGGCAATGGAGCATCCGAGCGTGGGGATCACTGATCTAAAGCAAGGCTTCTCAACCTGAATGATATTGTCCACTGATGGGTGAAATTTGTATGTGAATGGGCAAGTTTGGTATGTGGGCGAATTTGGACCTTAATGGGTTGAGGCACGACAATTAAAGCTCACTACATTGCCAGAATGTCGTCTGCACGTAATATTTTGGTGTGGAATATCTCTCAACAAGTTTGGATCATTCGCTGTCGTTTCACCTAATATCTGTGATGGCCATTTTTTTCGCATCGCCTTAATGCCCACTTTTAACCTCACATAATTATCACTGGTTTTTGCCTTCTGAATCGTCTTCAAAGTGGTTACAACAGATTGCTAAACAAGAAACAAGGAGGTTCAGTGATTCGGCCGTTGAAGTGAATGATTGGCTGAAAAAGACTGATAACCACCGATCCAAACGTGCAGCTGATAAACATGTTGAGAATCAACGCAAAATGAATAATGTGACTCTCTAAAACTTATTATTATTATTACTGATAAGGTAAAATGATGCATCAGAATGTATTTTTAACAAACTTGTTGTATGCAATCAATCGTTCGCATATTTCGTCGATCAGCTCTGAATTTTCGTCTTCTGATAGAAATTTAGTTGCCAAGTCACCAGCCTTTGAAGTGATTATAATTAAACAGTTGATTGTACGATTATGTTCGAGATGAATATATTTCGAATGTCATCAACTTAGTGAATAAAAATCTCATGAAGCAATACCCTTTTAAGCGCATTGGTGATCATATTCACGTCACTTGTTTCAGGCTCTTGCACTTTCATATAGCACTGAATCGCCCTTGAATATTCGCCTTGTGTTTCCCAGTCACGACCTTGTGCAACAAACGACAGTGCACCTTTTGCACCTGATTTCAATTGTGCTTCTTCATATTCCTCCTTTAATTTGTATTTGTTGACATCAGATATATTCTTTCAAAACAATTCGTCATAATAGACTATGCATCATTCAGTCATCTGCACTGATCAAAGGATTCATGAAATACAGCATACAATTATATGATGTAACTCTCAAAATCAATTATGTTCATTTCATTTCAATGAGGTTAGATGAACGACAAACCTGGATTTGAGGTAATACGTTCGGTATATAATCTTTAGCAATACGAAGAGCATCAGGCCACATTGCAGAATCTTTGTAGTAACGAAGAATAATGTCTGCACGATTTGCACGCAATAAATAGCTTTCAGCGCGACTAAAGTCCTTTTGTTCAATTGCAGTACGTGCTTGACCAACAAATACATCTGAGAGTGCTTCCTCGCAGTGTTCTCTGAAATGCTTGTTAAGAACAATCTATTTGGGTTTGGTTGAATTAATCATATCCAGAAATAATATCATTCGATTAATTTTTGATAATCAGCGGAATTTACAATATTGATGAGAAACATCATGAAGGTAAAATAATGAAGAGATGAACCGAGCAAGACGTTCGGCATTGTCCCAGTCTAGCTCATTAATATACATGAGAACAGCTTCCTTTGGTTTACCGCCCTCAATGTAATGCTTCTCCGCCGTTTCGAATTGCCCTTCTTCTTCGAGTTGTTGGGCTAATTTCAAGTGTACGAAAGCTAAACGGTTCTTCGCACCCAATCGGCACAGTTCAAATGCGAAATCGAATGCCCTATAAATATGCTTTCACAATTAATTTTTTGATCGATCATCTCACTCAACTATGACATTGGTCGTATTTTCACTGAAAACAGTTAGCTTGCGCTGTTTGAACATCCGATAAACTGACCAATTAACAGCGATTTCAGAACTATTCATTCATCATGAACAAATGTAAATAAGTGATCAGAGAAGTGTTATTGTAATTAAGCATGTAATCACTAATATGTAATTATTGCTAGAGATAAGTAATTACCCATTTTCACATGCGAAATCAATTGATTCATCAAGCAGATTGTATTTTTGCAGCAGCTTAACAGCTGAATCGCCGCCCAAACTTTTCGCCCATAAATAAGCCACCTTAAAGAAAATGTTGCATTGTGAGGAATAACCTATCAAACGAGCTGAATAAACGACATAATCGAGGATTGTCCAACTGATCAGATTAACAACATCGAATGAGTGAGCAACGAATTCATTCGATCTCAACAGTAATAACTGATTATTGGTTGTACCACAGAAGAAGATTCGAACTGTTAACGCGTTGTTTGAATGGATGGGTAAATTTAAGGGATAAGCTGAAATGTTTAAAGCTAAAAATACATGCTTAAATACCTGTTTTTGTGCACTGTCACCACCTTCCTGTTTAGCAATTCGATATGCATCGCTCCACTGCTCGACAGAACGATACATGTTCACAGCACTCTTCCAGTCACCAGCTTTTAGATATTCCTCTTCAGCTAATTTATAATCACCTTTCTCTTCCAAACCACCGGCGATATGTTTGTGTGTATCCTTTTTAATTGATCACTTATTGACTCATTTGAATCGAACAATTGAACATGATCTCTTTCAATATTAATAATAACCAAAGTACATTTCAAAAAATTAAAGACGTTTGGTTTTGTGCAGTGAACACAATTTTTGTCAGATATTCATTCAGTTTAGAGTGGTGAAGAATGAACTCATTGATGATAAGGGGTTGATACTGGCGTATGTATTCACCTGAACATGATCGGGATGATATTTCTCAACTAAATTCATCATATCCTCAATACGATCCGCCTTTTTATACATCGCTATTGCCTTATTCGGTTGTCCGATCGAGATATACAACTGCAATTATTATCATCATCATTATTTAT